AGTGGCCACGTGTGCCATAAATACAATTGTGAAAATGCTCGTTATGAAACTTTTCGCGTATACTAGTGACGTCGAGAAGAATATTGTTCCACCTTCCTTCCTTCCTTCCTTCCTTCCTTTTTCCATGAATCGATCGTTTCTCTTGCAATCACGTTTACCTACGAAACTGATCTGTTGTAGTGGAAATTGAAGCTAATCTAAATAATAGAATCGAAATAGAAGTTCCAAGAAATAAAACTCTCGTTTTAAGAATCTTTATATCCAATTTAGTCCGTTAGTTAGTAACTAATTAATAATCTTCCCGTTCGTTTCTCCTTTTTCAAACGGCTGTTACGCGATATAATTCCGACAATTGTGTCAATTATCACAGGGTTAAATGGACAAACGAGTGTGTTGAAAACGAAGAAGGGAACACCGGTAACTATTATCGCTGACAACAGTTTAATTTTTCTTCTTGAGGAGATCATCCTATGTTTCTAATTAATCTAATTAATCGTGAGAGTTAGTGAAGAATATTAAGCACATCGTTCCACATCACTTGCTTCCATCACAATAAATAAAAACAATTTTTATCTTGTTACGTTGTTATTTCAAAATATAAAATTCGAAAGTTTGAACATTCAAATAATTGAAATCTTTGAAGAAAATTGAATCTAAAAAATTTGAAAATTATTATGAATTTTTTTTTTTGTAAATTAAAAAAGTAAACTTTTAAAAGTTTGAGAATTTGGGAAAAGAGTTTATAAATTTAGAATTTTAAAAATATTTTCTCAAAATAATTTACAAAGATTGATAAATGATTAAATTATTCTTTACTATCCCTTACTATCTTTTCTAAACAAATTTAATAGATTTAAACAAGTCCATCAATACTTTTTCAATCTTAGCTGAAAGTTCATCGAACGATCTTCTTCCATTTCAACCCTTTTTCTTGAAATTTCCTGTTAATCTTGTGCCATCCTCTTCATCGACTCTTGGTACAATTCTCATCGAATCTTTGTTTCTGCACCGATCGCCTCAACGATTGTCTACTAAAACGGTGTACACGATTAATCGATTTTAATTCGACATATTTTTAGATCAAATGACATCATGTTCGATATTAGAATCATAAACGGATATTATTGAATTCGTTATACCAATAAATTGTGTAAATAAAAGACGTTATTGGAAAATGGTTATTGAGAATATTTTCCTTCTAAGAATCAATCTCGCGCAACTTAATATGTACTTTATATCTTTCGAATCGTTAAATAACATTATAAAATTTTAGAAATCGAGAGAAATTTTGAGTTATCCTAGGAGGGAAGATATTCGAAGATATGTTTCATCAAAAAACTTTGCTTCTTAGAAAGATATATTTATTTGTTATTTAAAAGAATCTTAATCAATAAAGTCATTAAAAAGAAAAATAAGAGAAGAGATTTAAAATTATTGGAAAATAAATAGAAAATGAACAATTTTTGATTTGAAAAAATCAAAGAATACAAAAATTATAGATATTTATTAACAAAATTTGATTTTAAAAATTTAAGTGAATGCTCAAAACATGATAAAAATCACTTTAAATTCGAAAACAACGTCGTAAATCGAATCCTTAATATTATGGAACAATCATCCCTTGATCCTACGATAAAAGGTCTCACAAATTTGTCAATAATGTTTTTATTATAGAATAAATTGGAACGTTGAACGTATATTAGACAGATAGTAAGATAAATAGCCAGAATAAGTGTTGGAGAAAGGATACGTAGAATCCAATAAGAATCAACAATGAACTATCACCATGAAATTGATGGGTGTTTCGTTTTATAAAAACAATTTACGAAAAAGTTGTTTTTTTTTTTAGAAAATTTTAATTTTGCAAGATCATAGGTTCTTTTTTTTCTAATATTTTATTTTGTGAACACAAGAATACAAAGACATCCTGTTTTTCATCGTTATCATGGTCTTGCATGAAGAAGCTGGAAGTTTGATAAGATTCAATAAAGTAATCGGATTGGAAATAATGCTTTGCCTTTATTAAAGTTCTATTGGAAGATTTTTTTAAAATTAATAAAAATGGAAACATAAAAAAATAATTAAACTATTAAAAATATAATTAATAATAAACAAACAATAAATATGATTGAAAAAAGAAAAAAGAAATAAAAAAAAATTAATAGAAATATGGAAATCTATAAATAGATTACCAATTATTTTGGAAATCTTTTATAATAAATTTTATATATCAGAAATTTAATCATTTCTTTTATTCAATTTATATTTATATAATATCGTGAATGTTTTGATGATATGAGAAAAAAATCTATCGCGATGAAATAATCTAATTTTAAAAAAAATGTTAATTTTGCATTGTTCAATCAAGCAAAACTTAAAGTCTGATTACACAACGCAGATTGTTTCTTGTGATCGACGCACGTCGATAAGAATTAAGACGACATTTGCGTGTGTCTTCAATAGGATAGAACGTTGAATCATTAACAAATCAAATAGTCAAATTGACTATTCCTGATTGTGCAAGACAATAAGATCATATTAAAACATTAAAAACAAAATTGAAGAACATTCGAATAGTATTTTAATTTAATACATATTTTAATAATTAAATAATTGATTCAAATCATGCAATTCTTAAAAAAAAAAATACATTTTATATTTATTGTTTGAAAAAAATTTGTTATGCGATATTAAATTATAGTGAAATGTCTGTTTAATTTCATATAAGTGAAATGATGTAATATATAATTCAGTTAGATAATATTTGAGAAAATAAGAACTCTCTATTTTCATTTTCAAGAGTTCAATTTGTAAATATAAAAATATATTATTATGATACTACTCTTATATTATTCTCCAATTTTCAAGATCAATCAAAATTTTCTTGTTACCTTTATTATTTACACATAATATTCAAAATGAATTTCAATTAATATTATCTTAATTTATTAATATTTAAAAAAATGTAATGATGAAATACGTAGTATATTACCTTCTATACGTAGTATTTTAGATAGGCCTAATATATTATCTCTTTAATAAATATATTAATTTTATAAATACATTTCTTTAACAAAATTATTAACAGATAATAATAATTTTTCAAATAGACTTAAGAATAAAAAATTAAAAATAATAATTCTTTCATTTAACAAATTTAAATTATTTATACTCTTCTTTTTATAATATTTTAAAAAAAGATCTATTTCTAAAAATTAAAATAAATATTTATATTATTTTCTAACTTTTAAAATACTTACTATTTTCTTCATGATTCAATAATTTTCTTACAAATGGAGACACATAAGGAATGAAGGGTTGAAATTAATGTTAATCCATTACAGTAGAATGCAACGACTTAATCGAAAGTCCATCAAGGGAAAAGAGTGAAACGACGAACGAATTATTGATGCATATTGCTATCGTAAGCTCTGACAAAGGCGAAGCTCGAACCAAGGCCATATACGCAACAAGACCTATTTTGTACGACTTCCTTGTCGACTAATTCGGCTCGATATACCCGCCAATGTTTCCTGAAAAAGAAGAGATGA